AGAGTATTACAGATATGGAAGTATGTAGCATATATCATTGAGAGTCAAATCCTGACCAGGGCTAGGCTAACCTTGCTAACAACAATAGCTTTGCTTGTTTTTGGACTTTATTTATTTTACAAGTTCCATTGCTGCCGGCTAACGAATCTACTGTGTATGGTTGGTTGGTTTACTGTATATTTCATCTTAGTGATTCTAACACGGTAGAAAAAAAAACAATAAAATATGGATTAATTTAGCATTAGCCTATTCTGGGATGTACAGCTTTAAGCTATAGTGGATATAATTGTATTTGTTAGATAGAATTTTGAAGATAAAATTTTGTTTGAAATGTTTACAGAAATCATATTTCTTCATTTAATGATTAAAATGTTTGTGTATCTATGTTTTATTTTTGGTAAAAATAATAATAATAAAAAAATATGGTGATGAAGGTTGAAGGTTGTCGCTGTGGATGAATTGTCAACGGCCAAGATACAGATAGATAGATATAGATATATGTGTGTGTGTCTGTGTGTGTGCTTCACATTGCTGAGCCTGGTGGGGGGACTATTGGAGTCAAATGGTGTGTGAACTGAAAGGCGTGAGTGTGTGTTTTGAACTGTATTGACTGAAGGCAATGGATTGAAAATTTTTTTGTGTTTGTTTTGTTCTTTTCTGGTAAGAATAACGCCTCCAACATGTTCATTTTCTGGTCCTGGAATTTTACAACCAAAGGAGCTGAAAAAACAAAATGGCCTCCGATGATGCCCTGAATTTTATGCTAATTCTTCATTTGTGTATGTAAGAAACACAATGAGAACTTCTTGGAAACAGGAATACGGAATAATATTTTGATAACATCCACAAGAACATTCATAATTATATTTATCTACAAAAAAATGTGTTTATCTTGTAAACAAACTAACGCTAACGCTAGCCGGTGCTAAATGTCAGAGTGGAGAAAAATCGAATTTAAAGAATTTGACTCAACTATTCTTTCTTGCTCTTTCATTGTCTTTTGAGTGTGTGTAGTGTGTGTGTGTGTGTATGAGAGAGAGAGAGAGTGCATGTGTGTGTGTTTTAGAAGCGGTCCGCAGAGTGGAAAATGATGGTTTGTGAAGAGCCTGTTTTGGATGTCAACAGGAAACTCTAACAGCCTTAAGTGGCATTAAAGACCCATTGTGTGTGCGTAGCGAGTGTGTGTGCTCACGTGTGTGTATGAGTGCGTGTGTGTGTGTGTGTGGAGGTTGAACAATGAGGGGTCCTGTTTGTTTACACCATATGGGATTTCTCTCACATGGACAGTTTTTTTTAAAATTCCAACTATTTCTTTAAAAAATATCCACACAAAAACACACACATAGTATGTAGCATGTATGTAGCACAAACAAAAATTACACTACAAAAATATTATTTACTAATATTTAATTACTGTTGCTAAGTAAGTAAGTCCAGTGTCTTTTCTCCAGAGGTCAAAGATCAGAGTTCACACTTTCCAGTGACCTCAGAAGAAGAAAAACGAATTACTTTAAACAAACGGTTGATCAAATCAAAACGTTACCAGTCCGACTTTCCTACTCTCACCAGTCCACCTGTGGAGCTGGTTCAACCACGTGACTGAACGCGGAAGCGGAAACGGAGCAGCAGGTTGTCCACAGCTGAGTAGCGACAGAGATCTTTGAAAATACAGACGATTTACTCCGTACGTTAGTTTTCCTTAAAGGTATGTTGATTTCAACATAAGCAGGACGAGAGCGTTATTAGCATTAGCTTAGCTTAACTGGACCCCGAGAAAGAACGTGTACTTTGGTCATAAATATATTCATTGCTTAATCGTTAAGATATCGGAGAATGATTAGAACGCTAAAATTAGAATGCTGGTGATAGACAGCTAGTGCAGACATATATTCGGCCATTTTATAGCAACACTATACACTATAGTAACTATAGGTAAATAGCAGCAGAACTAGCAGAAAAGAAAGTAAGGCTACGTCTTATTTTGTGATTAATGATTAAAAATGATTAAATGATTACAAATTAAAATAAACCCAAAAACCTAATTTATTAGGTCAGTTTTGTAAAAAAATGTACAAATTAATACAAAATACTTATTATAAATCCTGCATTCATAAATGTTTAATGACAAACTTGATTGTCCATGTTTACAGTTGTTATTTTTATGCTTTTTCAAAAAATGAAAAAAAAGAAGGAACATTTCAGACGCATTTTTGTTTCATACGTATTCATGTTCAAACACCAACGGACGTTAGACGCCGTTACAGTCGGTCCTGAAACATTTCCGTGTTTTCTACTGCCAACAGGTCGTTTCTTTGTGGTTCGTAAAATAATCTGTCAGAGTGACACCTCTCGCCTTTTTTGCGCTCTCTGGGTACGGCTTCAGCAAAGCTAGCAGAGCGAGCTAATCCGGCTAACAGCTACAGGCTAACGGCTAGCTGGTGTCGCTATGATGGCGGAGCTGGTGCAGGGACAGGCCTCGATGAACCAGCCGGGGCTGAAGTCAGACGGCCTGGTCGATGCTTTACAGAGGGCCCGGCAGGTAACGAATACACTGGGGCTTACTACACACCCGTTTCTGGTTGAAATGAGCCGTTTAGATCGAGCCAAAGCACTTTTATTAGCATTCCTCCGTGTTGTGGTGGTGGTGCTCCGAAGTTCTGCTCCGTCAACACACACACTCTTTAAAACACACTAGCGTGCTAACGAGCTCAGAAAGCGGCTCGGGTCTAAACTGGTAATCGCTGTCGCACACTTTGTCCGAACTGACACAGTTCTGGACTTAGTTTAGGGGCACTTTGTGGAGCTGTCACCTGGGTAGCGCAATGGGGGGGG